AACTACAATCAAGCATTGGAGCCGTTAGCCATCGAAGGTAAATATAACAAAGTATTTTGAAGTCTGTAATCTGTATAATACCGTAAATTAAGCGGTCTTCTTCTACATATGAATTATTTTTTATTCTTTTTTTGCTAGCTTTATGAAAAGTATTGTAGACAAGTAATGGTAGTAGATTAATGATCATTGATTTACAAAACAAAGATCATTATTATTTTTCTGCAGAAAAAAAAAAACAACACCGGAAACGTCAGATGATTTTGGTTGTGATCAATTGAACTTTCCTGTCTCAGAATAAAAATAACTGTATTAGTTGATAAATTTTATTGCAAACTGTATCTGTAGTTTTCAACAGTACCTTAAACTTTCCTGTCTCAGAATAAAAATAACTGTATCAGTTGATAAAGTTTATTGCAAACTGTATCTGTAGTTTTCAACAGTGTCTATACAAAAATATAAATAGTTCTGTTGTCACATAATAATTTTTACTAGACACATTAAAAGTACAACGATTATGATAAATTGAATTGATCAGGTGTAGTTTAGCAGGAAATTTTTTGGTCTTCTATCACATATCATTGCAATATAACCAATACTAAATAAAGTTATAATTTGCTTTTTAAATATTAAAATTTGTTTTATAAACCAATCTGCTATGCTACCGCTTTACAGTTTTCTTTATATTTTATTGTACATCTTAAAGGTTTTTATATATATATATAAGTTTTTTTTTCACAGGTGTTTGCTGCTGTTGCTATGATTGGTAGGATTATGACGGACAATCTTACTATCGTAAGTAAAGTCGGTTTTTTCTACTAACAACAGCGGTAGCGATATAACCGAAAAAAAATGTAAAAAAGGCCAACAATGCAGAGAAATTCTCATTGTATTCCGCTTTTTATTACACTGTTATTTGACTTATATATATACATATTTCTTTTAAAATCATCTTCTTTATGATAAATAATATGTTTTATCAATGGTTGTAACTATAGAAACTATTTCAGTTGTGTTTTTTTAGTATATTACAGAAATTATTTATGTGCATACAGAAAAATTTCATATTTTGAACTTTAGTTGTATTTACAGATAATAGAAGCAGCCATAGCAATTGCCAAATGCATGACGAAGCTTGTCAATTTAAAATAGAACAAAAAAGCTTCTTGCAATTGCTTTAAAAATTTTGATCATTGGTTGAGTTTAATTTTTACTTGTAACTTGCTGAGCATCAAATGTTGGAGCATTGAGCGCTTAATAACTGCAAATGCTCCTCAGATTTAACTGCCTTAGTTTGGTCAGTACATGAAAAGATAACAGTGTTAAACAGTAAATGCAAGATAGGTGAGAGGTAGTAAAAACTTTGTTAACTACATAAAATCTTACTAAGCTCAAAAACTTACTGAATTGAAAAAAATCATTTCAAAGTTTACATTTGCTGTTTAGCTACTTTATTTTGCATACTAAACGAGAACTATTTCTTTTTTTGATTTACAACTAAATAAAATAAGGTAATAAAAAATATTGTCAAACTTTATGTCAACAAATTCAATTGTTTCATCTAAAATAATTTGATAAAGAAAACTTAAGAAAAGTTATTATAAACTTTATTATTTGACTTTCGTTATTCTTTCTTATTTCCACTTATAATTTTTGTAAAAATTATTCTATGAAAATAAGCTGTCATATACAAAATATTGCATAACGGTTACTGACTCTCTTTTTTACTTATCTATTTCTGTACTATTAAACGTGTTTTTCCCAATTCAGTTTTTCAGCTTAATACCTTGGGTTTCAAAACAGTTTACTTTACGCTCATGTATCAGAAGTTATGTCAAATTTTTGGATGGAGACATTAACAGTATCACAGTAAGTACAGTAAAAACTCAAAAAGTTTAGTCATTTTTCCGTCGCGCTTCACGTGAAGCGAGTTTAAGTATATTTGATTTCCAGTTATCTATTGCTTAGCTGCAAAAGATGTTCTTAGGTCTTGTAGAAAAATGTTTGCAAAAAATATTTGCTTAAATCAGGTCCGCAAAAAAAAAAAAAATGAAAAGTTGAAAGTGATTAAAAAGCCAAGTGGCTTTTAAAAAAACTCCTTGTCAATTGACTAAATACTATACATTCGGATCATTCTGTTTGCAAAACTTGAAAACCTGATTATAAACTTAGTTCTTATTAATACGCTGTTTTCTATCTTTAGTGACACTTACACGTTTTTTTTACTAGAAGGTCAAAGTAAATTTTGACTGAATAAGTCTTTATTATGAAAAAACGATTTTTGTACTGATTATAATATTCTTTAGCAATAAACCATCCAAAAAATAAACTTAGAAGACGATAGTATCAGTGATCAATAATCATTAGATCAGAATTGATAAGAGTTTTCAGCAAAAAAAAAAACCTGCCGTATTCTACTGATATTAATGTAAAGAACAGATTATCTTACTACTTTAAGATTTTAAGCATGTTGACGCCAGGAAAGCGCTGTGCACAATTAGTACGATAGTAGCTAATATTCAGAAACTATTACCTTTTCAAGTACGCTCAAAAACGATCGTCTGAGTTGTACTAAATGCTAATTTTGTGACAAAAAGGAAGGTTATTCATTTTCTCATATAAAAACTGTTTTTAGAATTTATTAAAGGAGAGGTGCATTAAAAATAACTTTTAATTTTAGTTTTTTTAACTTTTTATTGAAATGCTGAAAGTGAATTTTTGTCTGTACCGTTTGATTCTTACAAAAACTGTTGTAACGGTGATATAACTAAATTTTTTTGCAAAGTAGTTTTTCAAAGACTGTTCTGCGGGAAGTACACAAAAGCTTGTAATGTAATGTCCTCGAATATTTATACTTTTAAAAACTGTGCTGTTTTGCTTGCAATCTTGAATTCAATCTTAAGAAAAAAAAAAATTGATAAAACTTTATTGGTATTCTCGTCAGTCTGTTGAACTAAAGTTGCATTTGACCTGCGTTTTAACACGAGCATGACAGCTAGCTGTTAGAGGTTGAAAAGTAATGAGAAAGTTGAATAAAATTAGTTCAAGAGTGCGAACCAAAGGCAATACATTTCAGCTAAAACTGGTCCCTGACTATTTAAAAGAGAACAGTGTGATGAAGAAAATGACGGTTCACTTAATTCAATATAAAATCGAAATTTCTGAGTAAATTTTATCTGTCAAACTGTGTGCTGGTGTGCAAATTAAACTTTATTGTGCCGCACCAGACAAATCCAGCTGGTTTTCTCAAAAATTCTATTAATAGAATTACAAAAAATTTGTTTTTGTTAAAGTAGCATTTTTATTCTATTAACACTCTTCTTTATCGAGTGAGTGCAGATGTGAGGTCCCCTTACGTCACAGCGAAGAATATCCACTTTTGCACAACATATATTACGGATTTCTGAAATTTTAGAATCCTAAGATCAGTGTTCAAAACTGTCATCAATGGAAGGAAAATAACCTGTTTTGAAGGAAAGAAAAGAAGAAAACAAGCTCAATCTAATAATCTTTTTTCAATTTCAATTTTATTTCATTTGAGCATAAGCTGGCCTTCGTGCTGCTGAACCATTCCTAAATTTGCTTTTTAACTTACGGGCTGTTGCTGCGTTCCTACACTTAGTTCATAGATTTCAAGCGCTGCTGCCGCCATCTCTCTCGTCTTCAACGTTAGTGCCGGTTTAACTTTCAGCTCGGTTTAGATCGGTCAAACTGATTTTGTGACAACCAATATGGCTAAATATTTCGTTTGGTAGTCTACTGAGGATTGTGAATCCTAATCGAGTATCATTAAAGACACAAAACAACAATTTATTTATACATGCTGCCATATTAGAGTAGAGGAAGAAAAAAATCAATAGAACTTTTCTTTTTTTTTTT